AAATCAAAGGAAGAGAAAGTAAAATACGTCGAACGTTGTTGGCAGAAAGAGGAAGCTAGTGCTCGTGTTTATTTATTCTGCGCACCTGTAGCTGATGTGCTTCATTGTAACACCTCTGCATATTTTCGTGCTCCTCGTTCGCTCTTGCGAACAATTACTCCGATTTAATTCGAGCAGCAACTTGCCACGATCCTTTTGATCCTTTGGATCCTACCTCATCTCTGCGAGTCAGATTTACTCCCTAATTAAGCAATTGCTTCCATTTAATTTATCGACACGAATCATTCCAGGATCTTAATCGAGTAGGTCGAGCCTTCGATCAATCGAATTTGACATTCGGGGGTTGTTGGTAATAATCGATTCGCTTTCTGTGTGTCGGCAGAGCTGGACGACGGCGCTTACAATCCCCTCTGGACGATGCGAGGATTCACGCAGACCTTCCACTTCTGGAAGGAGACCAGGCGGGCCCAATCCGTACCCTTGAACGCCTTTCTTACTTACATTACCCTGCCTTGGTGGAGCATCGCCAAAGGTACATCACTAGACGTTCGTACATTGTCATAAGTATTAGAACGTCTACTTTATTAAAATGAATGAATTTTATTATATGTATATATTTCTAATAAATTTTCTTTTTTTTTTTTTGGACGCGAAATTTATTAAAATGAGTTTCCAATGAACATTTATTAAAATGAATTTCTAATGAATTCTTTTTTTTTTTACATATTTGAATGAAATGATAAATTTATCATAAAATAAGTAGAAAATCCATTCAATTTGCAACCAGATGTGTTAATGCTTATGGCCAGCAATCGGAGAAAAAAAAATGACTAAAATATTAATCGCGTTGATATGCGTGATTTTTACAGATATTCTTGATCATCGAGAAGGTCCTATTCTGACATTCTAGCCGACACGAGGACGTGCCGTTTCCATTTCGGGCAAACTTTCTTTTACCATTTGGTTTCCCACGGTTTTGCACGCACTTGGATAGAACTGTGGCCCAACAAAATCGAAGTGTATAGATTATAAGAAAATAAACGAGATACTGTTTATAATTCGGCGCCAGTTATTTTAACTGTAAATCTGTGAATTCGTAAAGATACGAGTGAGCGAGAGACGAGAGAAAATCGAGTGGACATCTTTGGTAAAAAGGTGATGATTCAGAACAAGATAAAGTGAAGAAGAAAGTCAACAAGAGAAAAGTCAACACGTTTAATAAAGATTCCAGCGTGTACAAAGACGTACAAAAGTCTACCAACGTACTCTAATAAACTTTGTTCCTTTGCCTAGTCTCTTCCTCCTGTTTGTGCCAACTTCAGCTGACATTATTCGCGAATACGTTCAAATAGTCACCGAAATTAGTCCACGTGTGGTCCCAATAGTCTGGATTTGCTCTGCTGTCCCACGGAACATTTCCCGGTAATACCGCGGTGGTATTTAACTTGCGCAACCTGGCTTGCAACTCGGACGCGAGAGAAGGATACCTTCAAACAAGCAAACAATATTTTTCATCAAAAGACAAAGACGACGGGGAGGAAAATGATAAAAATGTTGAGATATCGTGTAAAAAAAATACCATTTCACTCACTTGTTTATCAGATTATTATCCTCGCAAGGATCCTCCCGAACATTGAACAGACAAGGCGCCTGCAGCGGTCTGCACAGTGGTAAACTGTCATTCCTCGGAGGACACTTGATCATGGCATCCTCTCGAAGGGCGCGAATACGGTCTGCGGACAAAGACAAGCCTATGCTGGCCACTGCTCGACCAGCCGTGCTACCAATCACACCTCCGACGTCGTAGACCCATTCCCTTCCGGATGGACCGTACCAACCGTCCCATTGCCCGTTATAAGTAGACCCTTATCAGAAAACCACAAGATATTACAACTAATTAGAACCAATTCGGATAAAATTCAGAAAAGAGATTTATAAACGATAGTGGGTCAATCCTTCCAGTCGCACGTATATTTTATGTTCCATTTTTTTGTGTTAATTCTGCTACACTTTTACACTTGAATTTTAAGAAATCGTCACGTCTGAAGAAGATGTTGAACACAAAATTTATATATATATTTTATGTTCCATTTTTACACTAGAATTTTACTTTCATTTTAAGAAATCAAATTTTCTTATAGTTTGTATTTTCTTATAGTTTGTTCGAACAATGATAATTGACATGTTTTTGAACATTAAAAAAATATAACCGAAAAAGACCAAAAGAACGCAGATAACAGCGGTTATTTGTTGACTCGTTTCATTTTATGTTTCACGTTGTTATTAAACATTTTCTTGCCCGTGTTCAACGAAGCAAGTAAAGTAAAAAGAACCAGCCGACCGGAAACTCTGACACGCTATTGCAACAGATTTCCCAATTTCCCAATGGCAGAGACACGATTACTTTTTACCCTGAATGTATTTCCAGTCTCCGTACGTGATCCCTGCCACGCCAAAAATGTCATCTATGTTGTGAAGAACCATTTTTCGAGGCGACTCGGTGTCCTCGCTCAACGCGTACCACAAATCCAAGCCGTCGATGCTGAAATTGGACGGATTGCCACCGGCAGCTGTTACTAGCGTTGGTAGCCAGTCGCTGATGTGCAACAATTGTCTACTGACTCTGCCAGGTCGCACTAATTTCGGCGACCATATCAAACCGGCTCCCCTAACTCCTCCTAGACAGAGATAAATTGATTTTTATTTTAGATTGGTCAGTCCCGCGTCAAGTGAGCTTCTTTTTTTTTTTTTTTTTTTAGTGATACCTTCCCAGAGAGTGTTTTTTGT